GTAGGCAGTTTGCCGAACCACGTAAAATTGGTTGTTTGAGTTTGTGGCCATTGTAATAGTTTTAGGATCCCTCGACGCGCAGTCCTAGAGCTGACGAGAGGAAGAGCTAATATCCCACTTTGATGGGATATTAGGCTTTCAGATTCTTGTTCCCTTTGAGAAACAAGAATTCTTATCGATCTTTCTCTCTTATTATGCACCAGAAACTCTGCCGAAATTTCCGCTGCGCACAACACAAAATACAAAAAACAAGAAAATTGGTACTTTTTGATTTCTCAAAACTTTTCCTATAATTTTTTTAAGAAATACAAGAAAATAATATTTTAGGTGGAAAACATTTCCTATAATTTCTAGAAATTGAACCAAACACCCCCTTAGCCAAAAAGTCAACAAGCTTGGAGTTGGTTCATTAAAATGAAAGTAGTTTGTTTTGATCGCATACTGTTTTTATAGTAATGTTCCAGTTTCATGTTTTGTTGTCAGGTAGGTTTACATTATTATCTCATTTGGTTAATAAACACGTTGATTGATTGATTTAAATGGTGGCCAGTACTTAGAGCCAGCCTAGTATTACTGAAGCTTATAATAAATTGCTTAAAAAAGCAGCTATAAAAGCAATTTATATAAGCTACTGAAAAAGCTGTATGATAATCAAATATCAAAAATTGGTTAAAAAATAGTTAAGGTGTTTGGTAGAACTATGCTCAATGATCATTGTTTAAACATAAAATGTTATATGGTATATAAACTAAAAATAGAATTTAACTTTTAAAAGCACCCCAAGTTTCTTGTAAAAACATCCCTAATGGAAGCGGTTTCAATAAACAATAACATACTAGAAAATTTTTCACCAAACACTATTATTAGCTATTTTTTGAAAAATAAAATAGAAATACCCTAAAAATAATATCAAACTGGCCCTTAATCTCTTATGTTAATTCCAGAGAAAGCCTTTAGGGCTCGTTTGGTACGCGGGAATAAGTGAGAATGGAATGCAATTCTAACTCTTTTTTCCCGCGTACCAAACACGATGTATTTTTAGATGTTAGAATTGAAATTTTCACTTCTTATCAATTCCCACTTTATGTGGGAATTGTCATTCTCAACAATTTAACAAGGAATTGATATTCTCACTTAAGTGAGAATAAAAGTAATCAAATAAATTCCAATTATACTCTCCTTACAAATAGATATAAATTCCCATATGAAAATTATTTTTATAAAAATTTAACTTATCTTAAGCTACTAGTACAAATATATAAATGAATATAACTTGCCCAAGTTCCAATATACAAACATCGTTCCTAAGTAAATTTATATCACTGACCTTGCCATAGTTCTAATATATTATGATATTATTTTTTAATAAATCTCTGATATTGTTCATTCGTTCCTAAGAAGTATATTAACGCGGATCTTGCCTTAGTTCCAATATCTTTTAATAAACTAGATATACTTTGGAGTGACAAACTAGTTTATCATTTTGCAATTTCAAAACTTAATATTTTGATACTTTGATGGTTGTCTAATTATTTTGATCGTACTATTTTATGGATATTTTGATTAGAATTTGGATATTTCTAATAATTTTTCGAATGTGATAGTTTATGCATATAAAATTTTAAACTATAGATACTATCGTTTATATTAATTTTGACATATGGATGATAAATTGCACTTTTTCCCTTTATTTTTTTCCCCCCAAACATGAAATCTCAAAATTTCTTTTATTAGGAGATGTTGTGAAGAGTGCTCAATTATATGCAATATCTCGTATAAGGCATTCTTCTCTTCACTAACGCACAATGAAGTTAGTAACATTAGCTACTCGTACAAATAATAGACATGTAGCACTAGAAGTTAGAAAATTAAAATTAAAATTATTTATAATTAAAAATAATTTCTATAAAAATTATTTTTTAATTTGTAAGCCAAAAGTCTGAAATTGTTGTCGAAACGGTGTGCCAAAATATAACTATTACATGAAAATTTATTTCTCTAAGAAAAAAATATCATTTCTATAAAACTTAATTTTCTAAAAAATAAATTATTTAGTCATTTTTAAAAAAATAATTTTTTTTTAAATTTTGTGTTTTGGTAAGGGCATTATTAAAAAACTAAATTTTATTCTCACTTGTGAACAAATGATACCAAACGTGAGAATAAGAATAAGATTGTCATTCCCGTTTTATTATCTAAACGCGTCCAAACATTAGAATGAGAATGTGCATTCCATTCCCACATCTATTCTCATTCTGACTTGGCTCCATTCCCGCGTACCAAACGAGGCGTTAAAATAATAAGATGGAGAATTCTCACTTTGTATGATCTTCGTAAAAATATTTTTTTCTTTATTTTCTATATTTTTCCAAATAATTTACTGTACTTCCGCAAATAGAGTTGTTCACATTTATACGCAATATAAATGATAATCATTCATTAACTGTAAACGAGAATTAAATGATGGATGGCGTGTGTGATTTAAAAAGAAGAAGAAAAAGAACAAGAAATAAAACGAGAGGCAACAATAACCGTTTCCATTAATGCTTCTTTCCTTTTCTCTATTTTAATTTCTTCTGCTAAAACGTGTTAGCTTTTGCTTACACATATAAGACCATTTAGAACATCTTCAACCATACTCTCCAAATTGGAATATTCTAGCTAGAATATTCCAATTTGGATAGTGGAATTTGGATATTTGCTCCAATCCACACTCTACAAATATTTTTATTTTTATTTTTATTTTGTCAAAAAAATAATAATAATGTTGGATATAGTTTACATTAATAAATTTATTTGGAAAAAAAATAACATTAGAAAAGTGTCGACGAGAGCTTTAAAATGAACCCAATATTAATACTACATAACATGACTGTGCAGGATGAACGCGATACGGAACCAGAGATTATTGTTCATGATGAATCTTCAAGACCTAAAGAGATGGAGATTGATGATGCCGAACGATTCCAACGATCCCTTGATCGACATAGGAAGATTCAAGACATGGAAGCTCATTTTATGCTTCGGAGCATGCTAATTGAACATTTATGGTAGAGGCATGGCAACAAAGGAATGTAATTTAAATATTATAATTTATACTTGTATTTTCTTATGGGGCAAGTTAAATAGATCTCCATATTTAAATTTTCATATCTGATACTTATTTAATTAATTTTAATAATAATAATTTTATAATAATACTAAAATAAATTAATCTTAGTTTCATTTTGAAGATCTTTACGAGACCTTTACAAATATATAATTATTTTGAAAATTAGGTTAATATTTTTTAACTATATTTATTTAAAGTTTAACATCTAATTTAAATTACTAAGAAACGATGGCAAAGTGATAATTTTTAAGAAATTAAATAGTTGAAAGCTCGTAAAATTATAAATAATAAAAAGTTGAATAGTGATATGATATGCATCTTAAGATCATAAGATTAAGTGTAAAATTCTAGCTTCACTCTCCAAATTTAGAGAGTGAACTATCTCTAAATTTGGAGATCTCCAAATTTGGAGAGTGGTTGGAGAGGATTCACTCTCCAAATTTGGAGGGATGGAGATTTTGCCGAGTGATTGGGGATGCCTTTATAGCTCATTTATGGTTATCAATTTTGAGCTAAAAAGGTAAATTTCCTTGTGTTTTTATTTGTGACAGAAAGTTTTCATTTGTTTATCATGCTCATGGGACTTCTTCAATATCTTGATTTAGAGAGTTAACTTATTACTTTATCAGTAAAAAAAGCTACATACTTAGATTATCCCAAAAAATAATAATCCAAATGCAACTAAAGATAATCATTTTTAAGAAGATTAAATTTGCAGAGTCATGCGAGATAAGCAAAATTTATTCCAGACGATGATGATTGAGAGTACTTAGTGATCACTTTCATAATTTTTCCTCGGCATAGTTAATTTTTAGGCAAAAATATTTGAGATTACTCCTTTTTTGAATCAATGATAAATTCATTACATTTTGTGTCATTGACATTATCTAGGTTATCTAGTATATTTTAGATATATTGATGACATGAGTAATGTAGATCTTCATATCTCGTCAATATTAAGATATGCAAGTTTTGTTGGGAAATTAACAGTACAACAAAATCTTTCCCGTCTTTGTGATGAGATGAGAATAAAAACAGAAGAGAAAAAACAGAGAAATACAAAGAGAAATAGAGAGATTGCACACGCAAGATTTAACAAGGTTCAGCTCAAATTGAGTCTACGTCCTCACACGCCCTTTCTTCACCGTTTCCACTATAATCAAATGAAAGCTTATAAAGAGTCTTCTCTCAAGTTGGTATAACTTAACTTGAGGATCACTTTCTCTCAAACTCACTTGAGGATTACAATTTTCTTTCAAACTCACTTGAGGATTACATATTTGCATGTGGTTCTTCTTCTTGCTTCTTAGTTGTCAACCTTCACTATCTCCCCTCTATTTATAGAGAGGATATGTCTCTTACGTACACCACATTCATTGCATGAGAGAGTAAAAAAACTAGCCCTTTGTTTTCCCAATACATGGGAAAAGACAATCTATCAATGCATGCATATAGTCAACCATAAAATTTCAATGGAATAAATCCATATTAATTCATCATGAGGATGGACCCCCGCTTCCCATCAAGCTTTCTTTTATTCATTATGTTATGATCTAACAAAATTGTATAAGAGAGGCCTTTAAAAAATAGACATTTCCCTATTAACTATCTAAGCAAAATATCTACAGAAATTCTCCAAAACATAAGCATATCTTGGTGTATATATCACGCGAAATACAAAAGATTTGCATATCCACTACATGGACTGATAGGCATTGGAAAGGTATACAAAACAAAATCCAGCATCAAATCCCACAATTCCTCCCCCCAAGTGGGCCCCACATTAAATTATGCCTTTTGACCATAAACTACCATTTTGTTTTCTCTACCCTCCAATTTATTTATATATATACAAGCACAGTCATCTCATGTCAAATTAAGTCCTGTCCTAAATCACAGGAGGCTGTTTTTTTAACATCCTTACCTCTTATGAGAATAAACCCAAGCCCAAGAAATGCCATTTCTCCCTCTCCCCTAAAAACTTTGAAAGCAACAAGATTGAAACTTAATAATATTCTTTGGTCCTTAACAGCCTCCTTCTTTGAAAAAAAAAAAACGGTTGGGAATTAAAAACCAAAGTTTTCCTCAAATGACTTCAATGGGAGGTATGCTTTGTTTCTACCCTGTGTTTTTCTTTTATTTTTTGTTAAGTAAAGGGAATTGGAGAAGACCCATGAGCTGGGTTTTGGTTTGTGATGAAGCTGATTGATTATTTTCTTGCATCTCCAGTTGTTAATGGTTCTGAGGAGAGTTCAGATGTTTTGTTGGGTTCTGATGAAGGTAAGCTTTTTAATTTGGGTTTTTTTTTTCCTTTTAGCTTTTGCCTAGTTCATGGGTCTTTTCCTTGATGCATTATCTGGTTTTAGAGCGAATATCTTTGTTCTGATTTTTATTATAATTTTTCCAGTTTAGTTTTTTGAACTAGACATCAAAAGTTGAAGCTTTTTTGAAGAAAACATGTGGAGAGAAAAGAACCTAGGATCAAGAGCTAATAAATGAATGTTTTTTTTGTGTTTATTTTCCTGCAGAAAGTAAGGAAGCCCAAAGGCAAAGGGGGGAAAATAACTCTGTTCAAACTCTCTATATTAAATTATTATCATGTTATTTCTGTTAAAGTTTTTTAATGATAAGTTTAATCCTTGGCATCTTATTTAAATAAAAAGGAAAGCAAAGTGGGAACCCAAAAAGTTTCTCAATTCAAAAATGAGGGGGGAGAAAAAAGGGTAGATACCAAAACTAACATAGGAGAAAGAGAAGACAAAACTAGTTTTTTTTTTTAATTTTTAAATGACTTGCTATTATGAAATTCAGTAGTTTTCACTTTTCACTTCAACCCTTTGATTCTTCTATAATGAAATTAACTGAAGCAAACAGCATTGTAATGCATTTCTTAACCCATTTCCATTACTCTGGAACAGAAAAAAAGAGCGCAAGCTCAAAAGAAGAACTCACAGATGATCAAAACTCTCCTCGAGGAGTTTTAGAGAATTCTTCATCGAGTACAGACTCTGACAGTGGAAGCAGCAGCGATCTCTCATGTTTGGAGAGATCGAGCAGCTCACATTGGAGGAGTTTATTTGGAGGTTTATTGAGGAAGAAGAAGCCAATGATGAGGTTTTCAACATTTCCTCCAATTTTGGGGAGTTCTAGCTTAGAGAGAATTGGATCTGATGAAAGTGAGAAGATGGAGAGTGGAGAATTTCAAGAAGAGATTTTGAAGGGGAGGCCTTCATGGAGGAGCTTTGATTATCAGGAGCTTGGAGTTGCTACTGATAATTTCAGTCCAGGTATAATAACTAACTTATTAAATGCAGAATAAAGCAAATATAAATTCATAAGGTACAAGGTTTCTAACCTAAAATCTCTTAAGTAGAAGTGTGGGTTAAATTTTACTTGTATTATTTATGTTTCTAAATTACTCTTTATTATATTTGTATACGCAACATTTTGTTGTGTTTTGTTTTTTCATGAACTTTGTGCAGGTCCACCATAGACTTGTGTACACAAACATAATTCATTTATTCGTTCTAGCTTGGCGTTGTTAATAGTTTCTAACTTTATTTATTAGAAAGCTTGGAGTTTTTTTTAATCATCACAATCCTTATTTTCCTAATTAGAAAAGTCAAAGGTGGAAAAGGAAAGAAATTGCTAGGCATCAAAAAAATTTCCCCCATGAATTGAAGCTTGTCCAAAATTTATTCACATGGTAGTAATAACCATCAAAGGCTACAGCTCTTGTTTTGAGGGAAAACACGGATTACATTTGTTCTTTCCTCAGTATCTCTCATCTTCATTTGGGTTGTTTTGCTTAATAATCATGTTAAAACCAACATATTTGAATCAGTTACAACGATGCCTATATTTGGCAGGTAAATTAATTGGAAAAGGAGGACATGCAGAGGTCTACAAAGGCTGCCTTCCCGATGGCCAACTCGTGGCCGTGAAGAGACTGATGAAAAAACAAACTGAGGATGAAAGGATCAGAGATTTCTTATCAGAGCTCGGAATTATTGCTCATGTTAACCACCCAAATGCTGCACAACTTCTAGGGTTTAGTGTGGAAGGAGGATTGCATTTGGTTCTTCAGTACTCTCCACATGGAAGCCTTGCTTCTGTTCTTCACGGTAAAATCTTTCGTATCCTACATAACTTCGCTAGAAGCATTATCATAGGTTTTTTTTTTTTGGCGTGTATATATAACCCCTCTCAGTCTCAGATCATCAACTGTGGAAAAGAGAAATACAACCTGAATCAACAAATCGCCAACTTTGTCGGATGTAGTGTGTGTGACACACACACAAAAAAAAACCCTCTTAGTTATAACTTATATTAGCACGAAAGGTTACGTTTGAGAACCTAGGTAGTTTATGAATCAGGGTTCAAGTGTCATTCTCGTATTGATGGTATATTCTATTTGATTACAAATGCCCTCTTTCTAGCAGTTTCGGATAGTTTTAGTCGTATGCCAAACAAGTCAGCTACCAACTTGAGTGTGAAAGGAGTTGGTACCATCAAGTGGAGTGGAAACATAAATCAACCCAAAATGCTAAATTATCTTTCAGAAGTGTGGTTTATTCCTTAATTGATTGTAGCTTACGAAACTTAACAAATCTATCAATAGCCTTTAGTTTGTCCAAGTTCTTGTGTCAGCCCAATTCTTAATATTTAACGTCATGGAATCTTGATTATATTTTCTGATATTTTACTAGAAAAAATAATAGCTTGGAACCACCAAAACCTATATAAAATTATAAAAGAAAAGTATTGACAGCCCTGTGAAGAAACAAGAAAAAAAATGATTAGAAATAAGCAGTGTAAAGAAGCAAGAAAAAAAACATATGGTGCATAACGTCGGTACTTGATATTTAAATGTAAACCTAGGTCCTAGGTTCATCTGCTGCCTTCATTGTGAAAAACTGCATACTAACCTCCTTGACAAATAATGTCTAAAGTTCAACTCAGCCTCTATTTTCCCAAAGTTTTGCCTTTTTTTCCCTTTCTTTTTCTCTCTCCTGAAATTTGGTGGTTATGTGATAGAGTAGGTTTAAGATTGTGGCATATCATAAATCCTGGTTCATTGCTCATACATCTTTTTAGGATTAATCTTGGCTTTATTAGGTGATTCAGATATTAATCACCACTTTATTAAACCATTTACTTGATAATTAAACCATATTGTTTGTCTTAGCCAAGTAATGGAGCTAAATTCAGTTCTTTAGGTTCAACGAAGGTCCTCGAGTGGAAGTTCAGGTTCAAGATTGCATTAGGCATCGCTGAAGGGCTACTGTATCTTCATGAAACATGCCAAAGGCGCATTATACATAGAGATATTAAGGCATCCAACATACTTCTTACTGATGACTACCAACCTCAGGTATGACTACTAACTTTGTTCTCTCTTCATTTTACCCCCTCCTTTTGCAATCTCAATAGGCTCTCTTCTACAGATTTCAGACTTCGGGCTTGCAAAATGGCTGCCCGATAAATGGAGTCACCATGTTGTTTTTCCTATTGAAGGCACTTTCGGGTGAGAATTAAATCTTTTTCTTCGTCTTTGAGTAGTTCTTAAAATCTAGTAAGTTGCTTATGTGCTGAATGATCCAGATACTTGGCGCCAGAGTACTTCATGCACGGAATAGTTAATGAGAAGACTGATGTCTTTGCTTATGGAGTTTTGCTTCTTGAGCTCATAACAGGGCGTCGTGCTGTTGATTCATCTAGACAGAGCCTTGTGATTTGGGTATGTTGAAAACTTGTTTGAATTCACCAATCTGATACTACTTTCTAATTAGTATAGAATTAGTCACGGCAACAATTTCATACAAGGGTAAGTTAGTTAAATTAACCGGTACATTGATAGTTTTGTGGATAAGAACACACCTTTCTAGCAAACTCATGTCTTTTCATAACTCAATGCATCTGTGTCCAAAACAAAAGATTTACCTCCACTTTTGCTACAGGCAAAGCCTCTACTTGATTCAAACAATCTGAAACAGCTCATCGACCCATCTCTTGGCGATGCTTATGATCCTGAAGAATTGAAGCGTGCGGTATTGACTGCATCAATGTGCATTCACCATCTGTCTACAGCTCGCCCTACCATGAGTTCGGTACGCAACAGTTTATAACCCCATCATCTTCCTTTATTCAAGAATCATCCAAATGTATTTGCAGAAATATTTCGTGTAGGTTCTACGACTTTTGAGAGGAGAAGAAGGATTAGTCGAGCTAGTGGGGAGAGTATCAAGGTTGAATATGAGAAGACCGCTGATGTTTGATGCTGGTGATTCGGAAGACTATACTTGTTCGAGGTATCTCAATGATCTCGACAGGCACAAACAGCTTGCATTGGAACAGTGAATTCAAATATGAGAGTAAAATATGTTGCATCATTTTGATTGTATATGAGGATCCCTCGTTTGTCCAAATTGAATTGGTGCAAAGAAGGATTATGATCTCATGTCAAGATTTCTATTCAGGCTTATTTGGTGATTTGTATCAATGTAATCTTAGCTCATTGCCTGTTTGGAATTGAACAAGTTTCTGTAAACTTGGTTAGTAATGCCAGGGAAAAAACAGATCAGAATATACCATCATGTTGAAACTGTTGATTCAAATGTGAAGGGTAAAAATCTGGCTGTGAACTCCTGAGACTAATTTAAGAAAGTATCCAGTGAACCAAACCTACTGAACATGCAGCCAAAGTTAAAAATCTAGTTAAAATGAGGAGAACATTATGTTTACTTTAAAAAAAAAAATTTCTCTAATTTGCCAGTAGTACCCCTCTCACACAAATTCAATCTCATTCTTTATTCTTCAAATCCGTTTAATAAAATTCTAATCCTAAATCATTTTCCACTTCATCTTCTCCGACGTCTTCCCCCATGTTTAATAAAATCTGGATGTTTGGTATAATTACAGTCTGTGATATTCATATAATACCATCAATACATTATGGTGACGCATTTGAAACTAATGATAGCATTCAAAGTCGCTTGCTATTTGCTTGCTATTCTTTGTGATTCAAAGAGAGCATTTTTAATAAAAGAAAAAGTATTAATAGCTCTGGCATTAAACTAGGAAAAATAGTGATTTTAAATAAGCGGAGTAAAGAACAAGACTATGAGCATCAATATCTTAGTGTTATATTCTTAAACATCGTTTTTTGTACTTTTTAAATTGTCTAACATTCTCGACCACAAATGTTTTGTTGCCTGTAAGTTGTTCTATTCCAATTTCCATAGGATTTGTTGATTGCGGAATTTAGAAGCTCAGGTCCACTTTTATAATTACGGGTTAATCTTGTGAACTACTTTATCCTCATTTTCACCATTTAAACAAGAAAATGTATCCTGAATATAAATTATGAACCAATATCTTCATACTACAAATTATGGATGCAAAGTCAACTCCATGTCTAATTCCTGGTATCAGGTATTGACCCAAACTCCTATTTAAACTCACCACTCTTTCTTATCTTATCCGATGTGGGACTAGACACGCATATTAATCACCTTAAAACTCTTACAATGCATTCATCACATAGCTATCAAATATCTGTAGGAACTTCCACCACTTCACTCATGGTGGCTAAGTAGACTATATCACTCCCCTACGGGCATCCGCGGATTCTCCCGACACCTTTGGGCTTCACATTGAAAATCATCTGTTTTTTTTTTAATTACTTGGACCATGATCTTAGCTCCGATACCACTTGTTGGGAGAGAAATCGAGCCTAATCTAGAGTTGATGTGCCTTAAACAGAAGGTAATATTCAATTTTAACCCAAAAGCAATAGCTATCAAGTATTAACCCAAACTTCTATTTAAACTCATTATTCTTTCTTATCTTATCCGATGTGGGACTATACTCACATATTAATCACCTCAACAATTCCTTATCTAATTATTATCATCAACCGATTATAATTTATCCATGTAAAATTATACATCTCTTCCATCTATTAAAATTTAAAAAGGAGAGGGGGAAATAATTTGTACACTGACATATACAAGTAATATCTTTCGTTGTGTATGCAAATGATCAGCTGATCAGTTCATATTTTAACTCTCATGGCTCAAGCTCCAGTAAACTTATGAGCAATACCTCAATGTTTACATCTATATGGCACCTCCTACAAGGAAAAAAATAAAATAATCAATTAAACCTGAGGAAAGAAAATAAAAATTCTGACAAAATCAAGAAGAAAAATACCCTGTAAAATTATGTTATATTGCAGAGTCCTGCCGTAGAGGTTGGCCTTCAGTCTGCTGATTGTCCAACGGCATATACTGAGACATTATCGCCATGATCTCCGAGTCCATGTAAGACTGAGACCAAACAAAAGCGATAAATCGTAAATTTCATAATAAATGTGCCTCGTGATATATAGTCAATTCTAAATAAAAGACATACCCGAAGCCTGTATTTGTAGAATACATAAGCTGCTACTCCGGCACCAGCCAGACAAGCTAGTACAAGGATTGTCATAAACAACCCAAATCTTGATGTTCTCTTGGCTGCATCAATAAGAGTTGAGAACCTCAATTAGATCTCGGAACTTTTTGATATTATCATAATTCGACGATAATTGGCTCTTATGGTTAAAAAGAAAAGGGGTTAAATGTATAAATACATCTCTTGTACGTAGCGAATTAGCCACTTACTACCCCTAAACTTTTCTATTAGCACTTAGACCTCAAGATGTTAAATCGAAATAATCTCACTCTTATCTGTACTTGTCACGTGAAGTCGATGTATTGTACACAGATCCCCTGATATTTCAGTGTGTTGCAGAGATAACAAAGAGATAATTCCGTTGGGACATAAAGAAGACATTAAGAGGTCTAAGTTCTAATAAGAAAGTTTAGGATAATAAGTATCTGCAATTAGCACAAAGAATATCTACCATCACTTACCAATGCATATGTCCTCTCCCTTTATGTACAGAAGGTTTCCCTTACACTTGCAGTCATATCCACCCCATGTGTTCTTGCATGTACAGCCATCGCATTGACATGCAAGTCGCTCCTTACATTCATCAACATCTGATGCAAAATAATTGCCAAAAATGAGGCCATTTTAATATTAAGTAAATGAAAGATATATGTAAATACTAGCCAAAAAAACTATTAGTATTTAGCACCTTCACATGTATGGCCGTCACCACGAAAGCTAAACGGACAGCGACACCCACTCAGCTGAAGTTCCTTTATGTATGAAGAATGAATTATTATAGATTGTAGGCAATAAATGTAACAAAAGAAAGGGAGACATAGCATAAGTTAACATCACTGAACTGAACAAGCAGAAAATGTTTGCCCATTCCTTGTTTCCGACCAACAACCTCCATTGTTCAGTGAACACCTTGCAGGACCAACAGCTGCAAGTTGATGAAAATTATATTGAAAATTCAATCATAGAGTATTGAACCGTTGATAATTAAAGTTTTAGACTAGATTCTTTCACAATACTGAAACTTGATAAGTCATGATATTAGGATCTTACTATGATTTCTTATATGTTTCGATCCTTTACAGACAATAAACTTTTCATTTTAACTTATCGTACATCTCTTTCGTCCTTCTATGTTTGTCGCCCAAAAAAAAGCATGTAGTTGGTGAATCTATCTACTGCTTATTGCAATCTTGTAAACAAAATCTACTATCGTATAGCACTTAAAATCTTCGAACATTGTTAATGAACAAGTACCTTTACAAGAGGTGTAACCATCTCCTTGATACTGAATGCCATTCGCAGTTGGGCACTCACAGATTCTGCCCCTAAAAGTGTCCTAAAAGAGAAAATTATCAATTACTAGGACAATTAGGACATGAACATTGAAAATATAAAATCTATACATTAAGAAAATATTCAGAAGGCAGACAAAACAAAGGGAAAATACTTTGCAAGCAGTGACATTTGATCGAATGTCCTCCCAACAACCACCATTTGATTCGAGGCATTCATTTGTTTCTACGTCTGGAAGCATGAAAAATGAACAAGATATCAAGAATATATAGAGTAAAGAATAATCAATGTGATTTTTCATTGGAAGGAGATTGGCAAATACCTCCACTCAAGCAAACTGGAGGTTCAGTAGACTCTTTAAACCCAGCACATATTGCCTTCAAAACTGCTGTCCTTTCCAATATCCCTTCAAGAGAGGGGAAAAGGCATTTTACTTAACAATATGATTATAGTTTGAGAGATTCTACAATCACAAAAATAAAGGTAATTGATGACCAAAAAATTTTGTTTCTCAAGGAAACATATAAATCTCTTTGTTTCAAGTTCCTCTCTTCCTGTGGTTGTGAAGGGATCAAGTATATACTATGTTATGATGATTCTCATCCTTGGCTACTATAGATCAGTAATACACAAAAATTTCTTGCAAAATTCCAAGCAAAGAGAATCTGTTACGAACCTCGATATTGAACATTGTTGATGACCAGAGTTGGCAAGATTGTTACATCGCTGCGGGAGCCTCGACCAACCTAAAACCCGAGATATGCTATAAATTAAAAATTGGCACCATTTTTTAAGGGTGTAGATCACAAAACTTTATTGTGTAAGATTTCATTCAAACCAGGAATTCATTTAGAGAGATGAAAGAGATGCAATACCTGTACTTTTTGCTCTGTCTTCAGCACCTCATTATCAACATCAGCTTCAGGATCACCCATGCACTCTTTGATTTTATCAAGAGATAAACCTAATGCAAACAAAACCAAGAAAAATAACTTAACAAATTTCATTATGTGCACAAGAGAAATGAATGCAGAAACCCTGCAAGAAAACTTACGGAGAGATTTTATAACATCTTCAGCACACTCTTTGCTATACTTCTTCTCCTTCATTGAGCATCTAGCATGAAAATCCGTGACAAAATCCCACCAAACCCATGACCGGTTGCTCTCATTAGCAACTCTATGTACACAGAGCTGCCTCAAATTCTCAACCACAACATCTTTACCTTCATAACCTTCCCCAAAATTTTGTTCCGGATCAGGAGAACAATATCTCCCATGATTTATGCACTGGGACTTACACTGCCTACTAGTTAAAAACGGTTGAGGACAATACCAAGTGATATAATGAGGAGTGAACTGAGTGAAACCGGTTTTTTCAAGAACTTGAGCATGACCTTTAAAGTTTTTAACAAAGTTCATTTGTTCATCGCATCGAATACCACATTCATCATTACTGTTGGTCCAAAACTCGTATTCCACTCTTTCATCAGGGTGAGGCATTGATTCTCTCCAGTCTAATTTGACTACAACTTCTTCAGTTCCCTTTTCTATGGCTTTTTTGAGGGCTTCACCAAAAGCTCGGTTGACTAGAGCTGATGGAATGGTGATTTTTTCAATGTAGCCTTCATCTTTGCTTTCTTCAGGGGTGTCCATGGTTAGTAGAGGTTCGTCGATACTGTCAGCAACTAGGACCGCAGCAGCTCCGGCGTTTTGCGCATTCCATGCTTTCAAAGCAAAGTAACAATCTGTTGAAGCATTAGATAAGAAAGCTAATCACAAGTTTGCCTTGCTTGGTAACAATCATGAATGTTTTGAAGAGAAAGAGTAGAAGATCTAGCCTTATAAATGTCTATTTACATGATGTTTCATAAACCTAAATGCTCCATAAATTATGATTAATGGCCACAAATTCATAATCAACACTTAAAACCAACATATGGAATAAATAAAATAATATTATCAAACATTATATCTTTGGAGTCAACATTACATTCAGAAGCAGCATTAAGTTTCTCCAATAAGTACAAGGTGTGACAGCATGACGAGTGCTCTCAAATGAAAAAATAAAATAAATTAAATTAAATTAAATATCTAGGAATAGAGCATAAAGTCATTCTCTCTAACATTATTATGGAGAGAATGACTGAAAACAAGAATTAACATTAGGAATTTTCCTGAAGTTCATTCCTAACAAAAGACTCTCTGATGCTTTACATTGTCTGAATATGGAGGGAATCAGCAAGTAAATTTTTAATCAGCCAAACATATGGTTATATGAACCGCAAATTCCATGATTTTCAGCTTCTGAATATGATCCATGTCCGTCGTTTGGTTAGTGTGCAATGGGGAATTTCAGTTTCAAGTATAATTTCGACTACTGAGGTGCAATTCAACAGATTTAGAACTTCAACTGGATATGAATTTCTATGCAAATGGCTCTTTAACTTCATGAATTAAAAGAAATCACAGAACTGCAATCCTATAACGAAAGGGATTCAAGCATAAATCCATACATCTCGAATTTGTAAGCTCAAAATAGTGTTGGATATTTTTGTTTTTTAGTAACAGTCGCCCATGAGTTTTTAAACAGCCATCATCTTTGAAAGAGAAGCAGCCAAATTTGATTTTTGAATAAAGTGGTGGGTCCCACCGAAGAAAAATTAGAGCGTGAGCCCCACATACATAGTAAAATATATTATTTTATTAGTGCATAGTGTTTTTCCAAACGCTATAAATAGACCTCAAATCCTTAAGGAAAATTCATTCCAAAAACAACAATCAATATATACAGATATAGATTGTAAAATAGTTAGTGCTTATAGGAATTTTGCATGATAGATCGAGAAGATCTTTTGCCTGATAGATCGAGGAGATCTTTGCCTTATAGATCGAGGAGATCTTGACAGTACTGGGTCGGTGCACACTAGAGTACTGGACTGCTGTTTCTGGAAGCAATTTGGCCTTGGGATTCTTGCACCGGAGTAGGCCAAATAATGCTTTAAGCACAGCGTTTTACAAACGCACAGCAGCTGAGTTGAAAATTTTAAATTATTGTCCTTTAATTTTCTGTTCAGATTTTTGTTGTTATATATCTGTATTATTCCAGTTTTAACCACAGGCGCCAACAATCTTAAAGCATTATTTCGATCTACCATGGATCCTACGAGGACTCTTGGAGTGGACTGTCTTAAGTTAGAAAATTTTGACGGATCCAACTTCAACGCATGGCGTCGAAAAGTGATCTTCGGGATGCAACTCCTGAAAATCTACTTTGTGGTTTCTGAGGAGAAACCTGACTCTGAAGAAGACTCTGAAGCTGAAGCATCTTGGGCTAGAGATGATCACTTCTGCAGGAGTTATCTTCTTAACTGCCTGGCCGATCATCTGGCAGATGCTTACACCAACAAGCTCTCTGCAAAGAAAATCTGGAATGCTCTGGAGGACCAGTACAAGGATGAGGAGAAGCTGTCTAAATCTCACCTCATTGATAAATTTCTGGACTTGAAGTTCGAAGATGATACTGAGGTTTTGCCTCAAGTCAAAGAGCTTGAAAAGCTTGTTATGAAGCTGAAGGATGAAAAAATCAGTCTTTGTCAAACCTTCATTTCTGGTGCAATTATCAACAAGCTTCCTCCATCTTGGATGTCATTCTCCACTGACATTCGGAGAAGGAAAAGACAGGTGACTCTGTCTGATTTGAAGAGGTTCATTCGGATCGAGGACGAGACTCAGACTTGCACGAAGACTGAGCTCCTTGCTAAGCAGAAGGCATCTGCTAACATGGTGGCTGCTAACTCTGAAAAGGGTAATTATTCATCTTTCAAGAAGAAGTATTTTAACAGAAAGAAGAATCAGAATCCGAAAAAGGCAAAAAAGGCAAACCAGATCGCAGCTAGGGTTCTTCACTTCGTTGCCTCTCTTCGTGTTCGGTGGCGACGAACAGGGAACGAGGAGCTCGGTGACGACGAGAACCGGCGACGAACAGGGGACGGCGAGCTCGGTGACGACGAGAACCCGCGACGAACAGGAAAAGCCGATTTCGGTGACGACGAGAACCCGCGAGCTCGACGAACAAAGGTGAGTTCTCATTTTTCACTTTTTTTTTGTTTTTCATCTGTTCCCTTTCTCTTCTTTCATCTCTTCTTTTCTTTTCTTTCATTTATTTTCTACTTTCATATCACGACGAGATAAGTCGGTCTTTTTTTTTTCCTCTGCTGTTGTTCACTCTGTTTTTGTTTCCCTTTCTCTGTTTTTCACTTTTTTCAATTTTTATTCTCTTTTTTGCTGTGTTTTTCATCTGTTCTCTGTCTTTTTTTTCTTTTTTTTTTCTTCTCAGTTGACTGTTAATGATTGAGATAGTAAGCAAGTAAACTGATTTTTAATTGATATTAGGTAATTATTAAAGTGATTTGTGGACTATTTTGATTAATAATAAGCTATGATTACTTAGTGTTTGATCACTTGATTAATTATAAGCTAATGATTTTTAATTTTACAAAGAGAGATTTATGGGGAGATTTATCTTATCTTAAATTAAATGTGCATATGTATGACTGTTGAAATGTGCAGATTGCAGATTCATGAAATTATGAACATTGCTAGTACTATTTGCTTCTTATTAATACATATTACATAACATAATACATATCAGTCAAAATTGTTGAAAATGTGCTACTATTTGATTTCTTGTGCGAGACTGCGAGTATTGATTCTTGCTATTTGAGCTAGTTGTAGTGCTACAAGTTGACTTGAAAGTTAAAACTTGATTCGCCATTTATAACCTGTAAAGAAGGAAAACAAAATTTAGCAATATAGTTGTTAGTGTCATGGAATATAATATATTAGTATGAAAGTTTGAATAATTTTCCATTCATCTTGTATATCTCAAAATACTAGTGATGTGTTATGTCAAAAAAAAAACTAGTGAATAGTGAAGTAATATTGCAATATGAATTTAATGTATATATGTGTTTTGGTGTAGATATGTCTTCATCGGCGAGTGGTGGAAGAAGACAAGATCCTACATGGAAATATACTTCATTAGTTGATGAAGAGAATGCCAATAAACATAAGTGCATATTTTGTAACAAGATCACAAATGGCGGCATATCCCGACAAAAAGAGCATCTAATCGGGACGGATAGAAAACGCAAAAATGTGAGTCTTTGTCAAAAAGTCCCTCCCGATGTGGTTGAAGAGCTAAAAGATTATGAAGAAAGACAAAAAATGGCTAAAAGACAACAAGCTATAGATGAATATCTTCCCGAACTTGGAGATGAGAACATGGTGGAAATTGATGATGAGGAGGATGAAGATGAACAAGTACAAGAACATAGAGATAGAGGAAAAGGCTCGGCGGTTCCTAGGTCATCTTCAGTAACGGCAAGAGGAAGAGGGAATGTTGGCATGCACAGTGCGGGATCTTCCACGGGCCCAAAGAAGAAGGGGCCGATGGATGCATTTCTTACATTCGATCCCGCTCTTGAGGTCGCCAAGGATGAAAGAAGGCGCAAGTTGAGACAATCGTGTATTGAAGAAAGCCTCAACAAAGATGCAGTGGCTAAAGTGCATCAAGACATATCTCGGTGGTGGTATCAAGCCAACATTCCCTTTAATGCCGCTCGTCTTAGATCTTTCAAAATCATGTTAAAGTCCGTGGGGGCTTTTGGGCCTAACTTGCCTCCTCCGACATTACACCATTTGAGAGAGCCTTTGCTTAGGAAGGAGAAAAAATACACTGATGATCTGATACAACCTCATA